TACCAAATTGGCCACCCCTATAGGGCATAGATAAAAATAGATAGATATTCACCGTTTTAATCTTTTCACTTTTCATTTTTTAAATAATTTATCGAATTAAATTAGACCCATTTCATATATTTATTAATTAATTAGTTTAAATCTTTTATTCAAAAAAATATTATAGTGTTTTAAATTCTTTTTTGTTTAAAACAGATATCTGCAAAAATCCGGATATCCAGAAAAAATCCGGATATCCGAATTTTTTCGAAAAAAAGCAAATCGAAAAATTAGATATTCATTAAAAACAAATCGAATTACAAATACTGCATTTTTTTCGGATATCCGATCCGCGACGAGATCTAGCTAAATGGAATTTTTTTTGTGACCATAGAAAATTTGTGTAGCTTTGGTAGGGCAATGAAAACTCGTGGCCCAAAATTTAAGTGGCTAAATGTGTGAATTTTGTGGACAAAAACCCTTTAGTAATACATACTCCGTTTCATAAATAGTACTATCATTCTACATATTTTTCCACATATTAAGAAAACTAAAAGTTTTACTTTACCATTTACTAATACACTAAATAATTGTTTCTCTTTATTGCATATTGTGTGTTGTTGACAAATAGAAAAAAGTATCACTCCTAATTTTGTTATTGATACGTTAATACTCTAACTGAATGGTGATGCAAGGGCGGTTGAAGCAATAGGGAAGTTATATAGTTTTGATTACGGTTTACCATTACTGTTGTAAGTGAAAAAGTAAGAGTGTCAAACGAGTCATTAGCTCATGAGATGGCTCATTTCAGCTCGGATTTTGACGAGCGCGAGCTATGTTTTTTAGAGTCATTTAATAAACGAGTTAAATGATCGAGTTTAAATGAATTGACGAGTTATGCGAGGTAGCTCACGAACAATTTTTTTTTTAATGATTGAAATTATTATATTGATATATTGTAAATATATCTTAGATTTACCAAGCAAAACATATATTCTCGTTCCTTTATAAGTTATAACTAAAACTAATATAGAAATAACCCATTATACTTTATTAGTAAAATAGAAATTAATTTTTGTTTTACATTTTAATTCTTTAGGATATATAGGAATAGAATATATATATAGTAATATCAAGAAGAAAAAAAAGAAATAATCTTTTATAGATTTAGCATTCGATAACAATGCTATTTGGATTTG